TATAATTTTATTTTGCAATTAGATGATATATTTTCTCATATGTTGTATGTTATAAATCGATCTATATCCTGCTTATCGATGTCGATCATTGCATCTCGTTTTTTATATTTGCATTTTGCTGTCTATCCTAGATCTTATTGTTAAATTAAATTGTTATATATTTTTAATTATTAACTATTGTTCAAATTTAGGATATTATAAACATTGCAATCTGCCATTTATTGACTTTCATTCACAGTAACATGGTTATTGGTTAGTGAAATCTACCCTCTGGGCATTCGAGGAAGAGCGACCTCAGTGGCGACTTCTATGAACTGGGCGACAAATTTGGTGTTTTCTCTTACCTTTCTAGAAGTAATAAGTGAGTAGATTGTTACTTTGCTTTGTATTTTGTATTCAAGTGATGGTGTAGATAATTATCATATGATGATAATGACAATGAAGTTGAAAATTATGATAATGATGGTGGTGGTTATATTACATTAATGCCTTCCATGAAGACAGTCTCAAGATTTGGTTTTTATTCATAACAATTTAACAGTCCTTTGCTCACAGAATATCTTGCTCCTTACTACTGTCTATCTCTGCTTTAAATACTGTGAAATACTCCTGAACTTATATCCCTGATTTTCTTAAGGATTCTCTCATTTTTGTTGAAATATTATTTTCATGTTCTATTTCTTTTTATTCAGATGTAGTTGGAATTGGAACATTGTTTATTTTATATGGCTTCATCTGTCTACTAGCCATATTCTTCATATACTGCTCAGTCCCTGAAACTAAGAACAGGACTTTGGAGGACATATCAAAAGAGCTTAGCGAAAGGTTAGTACAGTTTCTAGGTGATGTTAATGAACAGTTTTTTAGAGCTAGTCTGGTTAAACAAATTTGTCCTGGTTAACAAAATGTAAATAGATGTAAGTGAATGATTTGTCCTGTAGAGTGGCCAGGTAAAACACAACTGTCAAAAAAATCAATCAATTTAATTTAAAATTAAAAATAATTAATGTGTAAATATTTCATTCATCAATTTAATTGTACAGTCAGTGTTTTAACAACTTGGCTCTCAATTCAGCTTTCTTGCTGCAACAAGTAATTTTATGTATATGAATGTTTTTTGGATGTGAATAATTAAACAGTAAAAAAAAAATCAATAAATTTAATTTAAAGTCCGTAATTAATGTGTAAATATTTCATTCATCAATTTAATTGTACAGTCAGTGTTTTAACAACTTGCCTCTCAATTCAGCTTTCTTGCTGCAACAAGTAATTTTATGTATATGAATGTTTTTTGATGTGAATAATTAAATCAGAATATATATTGCACATAATGGATGTTTTCTGTTATTTATTTTTTTTGTTTACAGTATCAGTAACCCAAATATATTTTTTACCTTGTTGTGTTAATATATGACATTTTTGTCGATTTTGAGATAATGTAATCTGGGAGTATATTTAACACTTCTGAATTACCTGTGAAAATTTCAGGTCTCAATAATGAGTGGTTTCAGAGATAGCATCACCTATCTTGAAGCACAAAACTGAAAATTCAGTGATTTCCCATGGTAAAACAACTTAACTGCAAGATTACGGGGCAAAACAAGATATTTGCGATAGAGATACATTGTTTTGCCTTGGAATAGTTTTCAATAATTATTTTGAGCTGATGGAGTTTGGCAAGGCAAAATCAACTGGATAATGGATTTTACATATCAATAATCTTAATATAATAATAAGCAATGCATGAACAAGCTAGTTATTGCATGTGATTGGCCCAAAGTGAAAAATTCTAAAAATATGTCGCGCTTGAAACAATATCGAGTCTGACATGTTTCCGAGGCAAAACAACTGTGGATATCGCAAACTTTGCGATAAACAAACAGTTGTAATTAAAATTTTACATATAATCACAATGTCTATAGATATACAATCCTGCAAAATTTCAAAAAAGTACGACAATTTATTGCCAAGTTGCAAACATGCAAACTTTAACTTAATTTTTCTTCAAAAGTGAAAATTTCAAGTTAGGTTTTTTAGCCATGGAACAGCTGTGTAGTATTGTATTGTATCATATTAATTATGCCTTTTTGTATTGTCTATAACTATTATTCTCTTTGTACATGTGCTGCATATCTTTCCAGATATTATTTAGTATGCATTTTTAGAGATCGTACTTACCAGGATTTGAGCAAAAACAGTACATGTAAATCCACATACTTCTTATATTTTTTTTCCCAGATTTTTGGTTTTTTAATTTCAATTCTTTAACTATAACCATAACATTCTTAAAAACCTATGTATAGTAGATTTATTACTGGGTATTCTATTTTACATACTGCCATTAAAATTTAGGCCTACTCAAATAGTGGGCAGCATGTTCCTTTTATTTTCTATTATCAATACTTATTTTACATTTATTTTAATTATTTATATTCATTGTAAATACAAAAAAAAAATGTATTGTCTACAATCTGACATTCGTAATATTATTTTTCCCCCCAAAAGTTTCTTATGAATTATATTTTTTAATTTCCTTTATTTCCCTCTATTTTCTGGCTGTTGTTACTTAAGGGCGAAGGTTTATGCAAATTAACAGAGGTAGGTTGCTATAGTAACTCTGGTGGTTACCAGAGAACTTGGATTTCATTGGCTGGATATATGCATCTTGGCAGTATTTGCATAGTAGAAATAGATCTCTGATTGATGCTTCATCCAAGGATTGGTGATGTAATAACTCTTCATTTCCAGGAAACTATTCATGTTGGGATAATCAGTCTGTAAAGTGAGCATTGTAAGATGCTCTGGCGGATCCAGAATTTTTTTGGTGGGGGAAGCAAGTAGCAATAGATGACCTATGCTTCGAGGGAAAAGCAAGATCTATGGTCCAAGTGGGACGAACGTGGGTTATTCCCTTTACCTATTGTGAGGCTCTGGAGTTATAGCCATTTTGATTTCTTATCTAAACTGCTGTTCTTGTTCTTGTTGTTACTAGAACTTTAAAAGTGTCCAGCATCGCCAGTTTTGAACGGACGTGCAGGCAATTTTGTACACATAAACTAGAGGCGATTTCCAACAAGCGTTCATGGCCCCTTTTTTAAGTTGGACCCCCAGGGTGCCCCATACACCAACAAAACAAAACAGGGGTTTCAGCAAGGACTGTACATTACTGCCATTACCACTAATAGGACACGTTGCATGGATGGAGCTTCTAAAGATCCATTTTTTTTTCCAATTTTAAGACATTTTGTTTTTTTAATTTTAAGACATTTTAATTTTGTACAAATGAACATTCTAATTATTTAAAAATTTCTATCTTATTAGCTCTTCCAAATTCCAAATGTTTTTTTCAACCAGCTCTCAAATATCTTAGAATGTTCATTTATACAAAAAAAAAAGAAAAAAAAAAATTAAACACAAAGGCGCAATTCAAACTCACAACCTTTGGTTCCTTACAACACAAAATTTATGTGACATGCCCTGTTAGTGGTAGTAATTAATGGCATTTATGAACCCTTGCTGATAACCCAATATAATAACTTATGCCACTGTGTACCATACTTAAGCATGGAGGATATTTCCTCCATGATTTAAGCATGTTTTAATAGTGTCAACAAAAAGCCTCAACAAGCTTGTGACAAGCAGCCTGCAATATAATTTTACAAGCATTTTTTGAATCCTTGTCTACTTTTTCAGCAAATACTTTGGGTCACCAGGGCACAACAGAAAATTGCATCTGTTTTTCATAAAAATTTGTTTGACTTCTACTTAAAATCAGTGAATGGCACTCTGACCTGAATGTATTACTATGACTATGGTTATTCTACTATGTAATGCCGTTCAACACATCTTTTGAGCATGCTTTTTGACTATTGACATTTTTTTACCTTTAATGTGGCAGTTAAGCTTAACTTACCAATAATATGAAATAATAATAATAATTTTTGGTATATATTTGTATAGCACTTCGTACTAAACATTTGAAAGCACTTCACAAACTTGGTCATTAGGTCGAACACAAAAAACTCACACTTAGTTCCCTGAGGAAGTATCCCATAATGTTGTACTAGATAATGTGGACAAAGTTGAGGCTCAATCTCGAACCCTCAACAGTGATTGGAAACCCAAAGCCTTAAATACTATATTACACACTTCCACTACTGTACAACTATAATTGATGACGATGTCATTGCAATTGACCCTTGACTTTTTAAATGGCATTTCATATTGTAGTTGATATTTGTTTACAGCGTCGTGGACCTTTGACCATGCAATTGACTTTAACATGTTTGTTGACTTTAACAGGAAGCCGTAATACGACTGCTCCCTGGCCTTAACAAATTTTTTGCTTGAGTTTAAAAAAAAAAAATTTGATATAGAGTACTGTATATGAAATTATTAATTATTAATTACTTCAATAACTATAAATATTCATTAATTCTTTTTGAGGAAAATGAGATGTTTATAATATTGTTTGAAGGTGTGCATGGCGAAGTAATAATATATATTAATGCTTGCTGTACAGCACGTAGATAGTTGCTATAATGCCACTTATATAACGTTGAGATGTTCTCAACCAACAACAACAGTTCTTTTCAGAACTATCTACGTGGTGTACCGCAAGCAATAATATATATGAGTATGTAATACAAATATTGATTTTTTTGTTTAATACAAAGTTTTCCTAACATTATTCCCCCAGAAAATTATCACACCGGAGGAGGATTACCATGCCAGTATCCTTCAGGACAAGACATCTGGAGTTACCGGTAAATGAGCCAGGCTACTCCGTTCCATCACCCGACTGCTGAGTATACATGGATCTTATGCTTTCACAGGCATGGGAACATGTTCCATCAGACCAATTAATTTTTTTTTAGTGAATGGCTTTTGCCTCTCATAGTAATAGTACTTACATGGTCTATTTTGTGAATACTTACCAGGAAGGGCCAATATATGCCGGTTTCGTTTAACTTACCACGATAAAAATGGAATCATCCTTGTTTAGTCATTATTACAGTCTGAGTGTAGCTAAAGGCATAGACCACTTAAGAAATAGAGTGCTAAATAAAAAAAAATTGTGTTACCAGGGAACAGTGAAATTACAAACGCCCCAAATGGCTCTGGCCGATGAGGCAGTACATAATACTTGGTAGAAGACTTAAGCCAACAAGACATGATTGACTAGGCCTGTATTGAAAGCTTCTCAAAGCAACACTAAAGTAAACTCTTTGGTCAGTGTATTCTTCCTAAGAGGCTGGTTACTTACATTGATGCATATTATAAGCCTATGTTGGACTTTCAAGATAACATTAGGCTTAATGTATCATTCATATCAAACAAAAGTTTTCTCAAAATACAAAAAAAAATGTTGTTATACATTAACTGTTATCACATTCATTAAATGTGTTGTATTTATAAGAATAGTGCAATGTAATATTGATGTTTGAAAGTAAGTAGATCATATATCCGTAACTGTCGGTATTCATGCCTAATTTAATATGCAATTTATAATGAATTGTATCAGCAATACCTTGAGAATGACATTTTAATGGAACAATTCAGCTTTAGTGACCTCATAAATCAGTCGCTAGAGGATGTTTTACCAGATCATTTACTGATTAGGCAGCAGGACTTTAAAGCATAAGATATTTAAATTCTGTTATTTACCTATGATTTTTAATACCTATATTTACTTAAGTTTGTCATTGACACCATCAAACATCACTGTTAGTGAATTGGTAAGTTGAATAATAAAACTATTTTACCATTGAGGATTCTTCACATTTATTCCTTTGTATATAGTAAGCTTGTAGTGTAATATTGTCAAGGTTTAAATGGATATTATTTATATTATATATTTCATTTGATAGAGTGAAACTATCTAGTGAGCATTGCAATACTTGACCCACTTTTGAATCAATTTCTTTATTTATCAACAAATGTTTAATGTATTCTCCAGTTTTATTTGATGTATACTCCCCTAACATTACGTGTTACTCATAATAATCAGGTATTTCCTGTAGCGCCATCAATATGTTTTCATTTTGCTCTTAATCGACTGTATGTGACTGCCATATGATGGAAACATATTATTTAATGCTTAAAAGTATTAGTATGAAACTTGGAGAGTGGGGCCAAGGATTGTTTTTAGTCATTAGGATATCATATAATTAAGGGCTTTGAACCTACCACCTTGAGATTTGAAGGTTTGCATTTGACCACTAAGTAGTAAATACTTGCCGAGCTACAGGACCGCGCCCATGGAGCTGGAGCTTCTCAGTTTTTGTAGCGTGAAGCAAATGATGTTGCTCCTGGGAGGGACGCTAGTTACTCCCAGCAGTTTGCTGGTACCCATTTATACAGTTGGTATCTAAAGCAAAGTAGATTAAGTACCTTGATCGAAGGACAAAAGTGAAATGCACAGTAAAGGATTGAAACCCCGACCTCAAGGTTAGGAAACCAAACAATGAGTTCCACTGCGCCAGACTGCTTCCACTTAACCACAGTATGTCCACTACAAATAATGCTACATGATAGAATAATCATGTGTGTAGGCATATTAATGGCTTAAAATCTTACTCATATTTAATATTAATTTAATATGTTTCATTATTTGACTTCCAGCTTTCTAATTACTAATAAATAAATAAATATGGAATCATCATCGCCAATGAGTTTTTAAAGGTGTTTGATCACATATTGATGACAATAAAGTGTTTTTGATTTTTAATAATAACTAGATATACTTAAACATTTGTAATTTGGTTATACTGTAGCATAATGCGCTTTATAACACTGATATACAATTTAAGAGACTGGCCTATCCAACTTGTATTAGATAACAAGATAAACTCTTATTTTAATATCAAACTATATGAATTATTTTTATAGCGGTATTAATAGAAGTCAACAGGATTTTTTTTTTTTTTGTGTATGTAATACAAGTTTGTAAATAATACAATATACTGTTTGAAAAACAAATGCCTACAATTTTTATAACTCTGTTATTTGATGAGAATGATGACAAGGCAATATGTCATGTTTATTTTTGTATTAATCTTACTTTCATTAAAGTCTTGTATATTTTGTATAATGATACTATTCACATTGAGTTTTGTGATTCAGTTTTTAGAGATTGAGTATTTGCTTATTATTATTACATTTGTAATTTGTTTTTGTTGATGATAGTGGTGACGATGTTGATGATGAAGATGATAATAATAATGATCAACGATTATGATGCTGATGATGACGATCAACATTGATCCCAAATATTGAATAATTCAAGAAACACTCGTTTCAATTGTGCATGGGTATATCAAAAGTAACACAGAAACACACTTAATAGCTATTGTCTGTAATTACTGATAGTTACTGATAGTTACTGATTAACAATTGATATTTACTGCATATAGAGTAGTAGCCGAATATTGCAATATACAGTACCCTCAAAACTGTTTAATAAAAACTATCAACTACAGACGCCGTAATTTATGTTTGTTCATAGACACAGTTGTTTGCTCATAGACAAAGCAGTTTAAATAAAACTATGAAAGGTAACCAGGGCTGTCACTTCTATTTTTATTATTAATGTCTGACCTCACTGGCCCGTTTCCAGGATTCTTGAGAACCGGTATAAGACGCGTTTTTTGGGGTCGTAGAGGAGAATGTGTGGGCTGATCAGAGACCAAGAAGGCCCTCTGAAACTACAGAAGTTTAGCATGTAAATGATGAATTTCATATTTTTTCTTGATTTTTAATACAATTTTTGGGTGTGCTTTGGTTTATCAAATGGGGGTTTGACCGAACCGTAGAAACCCCATTACGGCCCTGCCCCCAACATCTGCTTTCTTATCAACACTGTCAAAATGATATCTCATTTTTTAAAATTTCGCCCCGTTTATCATCCAATTATTTTACAGGCTATAGGCGTAAAATATTTTCACTAGACGTAATTTTTGTTGTACTGGCATTAAGAATAAACAACTCAAAGCCAGGGACGTAACTAGTTTCGAGGGTCCCAGGTTCAAGAGTACCGCCGGGCCCTTGACGCATATAAATTAACAATCACTACTAATACCATCCACCGCCGAACCCATGAAATTGAGTATTGTACAATTTATTATTTTTCATATAAAGTAATGATCCGCCGGGCACCATCCTGAATCTTAGTCTTCGGGGCAGGAATATTGATTACTAATATAATGTATTATTATGTATACTGTATACCGTATATCGTATTTTTACTAAATTAATCTAGAGCTGTTCCCATCGAACATTATTATTTTGGAGTCTAGTTTTGGGGACGGATACGGTAATGTTTATTATTGGAAGTGAATGTACCAATACTGTATCATTTCATCTCCACACTAGAATTACTACAATCTACAGAAGAAAATGAACTACAATAAATCTTAATCAATTATTTTCGAATTTGGAGTAAAAGACAGTCTGGTGGTATGATTTTATCTTGTCTAATTAATTCTGCTTGAGATATTAACAACTTGAGCTTGAGATAGGGCCTGAAAGCGTAAGTCTCATGTCATATAAATACACTCTGACCATGGAGGACATTTCCTCCATGCTCTGACTAATGCAGGCTAAAGTGAAGTGAGTCTAAGCCGGGAATTAATGAGCTTTAAAGGTACCCTGTCCGGGGTACAGTGACCAACGCCCCACTGCAAACGTTACCGGTAAAGTCTTTACATAAGAGGAAAAAGAAAGGACAGTTTTGCTGACAAGCATTTGTATTGGTCAGGCTTTTATGCATGCATAGATGACGACCTGTTTCACTAAGATTTCCATCCATCACGATATAGCGTCGTTTGAACGACAATTTTTACAAATAGGATAGGGGCCTGGGCATGTATAATTTATTATTTTAAAGTTTTTATTCATGCATTGCTTTATTGATTAACCAATATTTTTCTATGTATTGCTTTCTTAGATTTTATTTTATAAGTAGCGGGCCCCACCACAGCTAGGCATAGTGATTATTGTTGACAATTGATGTGCAATATTATATAAAGATATATTCTATCAGTCATAGAATTTTATTTATATGCATTGCTTTATTAGATTTTTTTTATAAGGAAGCGGGGCCTTTATAATAGATCGGGACCCCTAGAGATTGGGGCCCAGTTTCAATAAACCTGCTGAACATGTAGTCCAGCAAACTTTGGTTGGTTGCATTTTTTTTTGCTATATTTAAAAAAAAATTGACATGATGTAGAGTAGACATAGATAAATCAAAAAAGTATGTGCAACATTTTTTTTTTCATACGTAAGGGGGGTTTGCCAGCAGTTTCAAAATGGCCGCCAATTTTTCCTAAAATTGTCACTAATATTGTGAATTTATGTCATTAAAATGCAGTATTCAATTGGAAATCCATAACGATGACAACAATAGTTAACTAAATATTGTACACATTTTTGAGATTTTACAATTTAAAATGGCTGCCATTTTCCATTGTTTTAGCTTTTTAGCATACATATTAATATAACAATAACCGACCTGTACAAAAACGTGTAATAGAGCTAGTTATATGCAATTGCCATATGGTATTATGATTATTACCCTAATATATATATGATATATATATATAATATATATATATATAATATATATATATGATATATATATATGTATATATATGTATATATGTATATATACATAATATCTATATCATATATATATATAAGTATATATGTATATATATTTATATATGTATATATGATATATATATACATAATATGTACATATGATATATATACATATATATATATTATATACATATATACATATACATATATATATGTATACATATTTATATATAATGTGTGGGTGTTTGTGTTAGTATTATGTAACCATATTACATACTGTATTTATTTATTTATTTTATTTTTATTTATTTATTCTTTATACTGGGTTACCTCTTCAGTAAAAAGTTACGGTTCTCCCAGAGGGCCCAGTACACAAAAAACATGAAAATTGCAAGAGAAACAACACAGAACATAAAAAAACCAAAAAAACAAACAAACACGAAAGAAGTAAAAAATTACATCCCCCCCCCCCGCATTCCAAATTCGAGAACCCCTAAAAGTAAAAATTCTTCTACCAGATTCAGGTCTGACTTTAGGCAAAATTAAATTTCCCTCAGAACTGGATCTGGTAGAATAGTTATGAACACTGTCAACTGAGGTGAAAGTGTTTTGGAGAGAAGGGACTCTGCCACTCAAGTATTTGTTAACAAGGGTGACTAAATGGTTATTTCTCCTTTCGTTAAGAAATGACCAACCAAGAGAAGTATGTAATTGAATTAAATTTGTTCGGTGATCAGCCATAAATATAACACGTGCTGCTCTATTCTGTAATTTCTGTAATTTGTCTAATAAACCCTTTCCACAATTTCCCCAAACAGAATCACAATAATAAAATAAAGGTAATATGAGAGATGTGTAACTGCGAAGCGGAATGGAGTTTCTGCAACAACTTTCCATTGTTGCCTAGTGTTTCTGATTTATCAGACAGTGACAGTGATGAAGAAAGTGATAATGAACATTAGCATATTACAAACTCACTGATGTAGGTAAATATAAGTAAATCACAAACACACACCCACACAATCGTCGTCGTGAAATCGAAAGCTCCCTAGCTGTCTCTTATACACATCTAGATGTGCATATATATATATATCACATATATATTATGGTAATAACCATTAACAGCATATGGCAATTGCATATAACTAGCTCCATCACACGTTTTTGTTTTACAGTACAGATCGGTTATTATTATATTAATATAGGCCTACGTATGCTAAAAAGCTAAAATAATGGAAAATGGCAGCCATTTTAAATTGTAATAGCTCAAAAATGTGTACAATATTTAGTTAACTGTTGTTGTCATTGTTGTGGATTTCCTATTGAATACTGCATTTTAATGACATAAATTTACAATATTAGTGACAATTTTAGGAAAAATTGGCGGCCATTTTGAAACTGCTGGCAACCCCCCTTACGTATGAAAAAAAAAAAATGTTGCACATACTTTTTTGATTTATCTATGTCTACTCTACATCATATCCAATTTTTAAAAAATATAGCAAAAAAAATGCAACCTCTGATATTGCTACATTTCGGATTAATGGACTAATGTGGTAGTTACGCCACTGCTCAAAGCAACTCTAATGTTTAAAAATTACTGAAGTAAGGTCCAGTCGATCCAATTACTGTAATTTATTGAGATTACAATTCCAGTATTGACTGTATTTCACGTTTGTTTTTAAAAATCTCTTATTTTCCATTGTAATTAAGTTCGTCCTTCAAAAACACAGTATTCATTTAAATTACATATCAACATAATTATCGATGGCTATTCATTTTTCATAAAAAGACAACATGTTCAGAGTGTCGAACACTTTCCGCTGCAAATTGTATGGGAAATTAATCCTTTTGATCATACCGACGTTTTAATATATAACGAACGATGGTGCAATTAGTAGGCCTTCAACAGTCTGCCGAATTTTTATCGGAAAGCATAGAAATATTTTTGTTATAAATTGTTCGGCCAACTCTGTCACTTCATTGTGTTACCGATCTTAAGGACGTGATATTAGTACAGTGTAGAATCATTTATTTAATATAGGCTATCAGTGGTAGACCTAAACTGTAAAAATAGTATAAAAAGGAGGGCTTGAGAGTGAAAACAAACGAGCCCCCAATTCGACTGGATTATTCGACATGAAAACTGTACACCAAATCCGGACGGTAGGCCTACTATCTTTAAAAACAGTTTTCAAAAAGTTTACTTGGATAACATAAACACTCTATATTATTGATCGGACAGTCCGACACATACACATTGTATTGTGTAAAAATAATCTTACTATAGTATAATTATTATTGATTTAAAATAAACGAGCGTTTTATACCGTACTGTACTGATTTAATATTGTACTGTAATGTGCTACTGTAAAACCTCGAATAGAAGCTAATCTCCAGACGAAGCCCCTTCTTCTTGATTATAATGATAGCGTCAGTATCAATATTTATTCATTGTACTAGCATGGTTCTAAAAATTAAAACAAATATTAAACATAATTTCGAATTTCATAGTTAAAAATGTATAGTAGCAATTCCAAAATGTACAGCATTCATTTCAAAAAGAAGCCCAT